CCCCACCCACTCCTCCCACCAGGTGATGAAAGTTGCCCAGGAACATCATGAACACCTCAACAGCCAGAGAATCTCTTCCAGCCCCAGCTACAGGTCTCGAACCCGAGTCTCCTGCATGCACGACGAGCTGGCCACCACCGTGCACAGGAGCAGCACAAGGAACAGCCTCCGGTTCCCGGAGAGCAGCAGGCGACAAAATGGCGGCGTGAATGGAGTGGAGGAAACTGGCGAGGAAAAACGCAACCAGAGACTTTTGGAGCATGAGGGGGCGGAGCAATGGTCAGCCAATCTGTCCAATCATAGTGATCCCAGAATACATCACAGCAGCGGAGCCCGGCCCGTAAATGCTGCCAAAACAGCCAATCACAAGACAGATTGCCGGTCTCCTATGTCTGAGAACGGTGAAAGCTCCCTGGAGCTCCAAAATCTTCGGTACACTTGTGGAAACGTTTGTCCTTCTGTCTCCAGTACCAACAACTCAACAACGAAACCGACCGACCAGAACGACCCATGGCAAAACCCCGACAAGAATGCCGACCGTGGAAGCGGTCTCAGCTCAGCGGAGCTCTTGACAGAAAACGCAGCAATAACAGCATCAACAACAACAACAACATCAGAAACAGCAACAACAAAAACAACAACATCGCTGAAACCACAAATGTCGAGTGAATTTCATCCTGAGTCAGGAAGAACCCTCGCTTGGGTTGAAAACGGCGTTACAGGACCAGCAAATGTCTTCGGGCCAGTCAAAAGATTCACAGTAGGTAATAATTATGATGATGATGATGATGAAGATGATGAGGATAATACGTCATTTTCAGGGGTGACTACAAGTCCAAACATGCTGGCACAGCTGGGGTCGATAGAGGGCACGAAACAACTGGTGGACTGCGCCATCGCTGTGGCCATTCCCTCATACAGGGGAAATATGACGTCACTGTGGTCAAGGCGGGTGTCTTATCCTAAAGATGTGGGTTCCCCTCAAACTGACCACAGACTCCGCTCCAGACAATGGGCTGACCACAACTCATTTGACCAGCGCGGACACAACCAAATCTCAGAGTCAGATGTATCCACTACGTCATCAAATAATCCTTTGGTGCAACCTAACCTCGCGTGGAGCGACAACACGCTGTCCATGTCCGATATAAGGTGCGTAGAGCACGAACCTGGACAGGGAGGAACAACGACAACAACAACAACAACAACAACAATAATAACAAAACCAAACCCCTCTCCCTCAATCCCCCAACCACATCACCAAAATCACCACCACCACAACAACAAAAAAACCAACAACAACACATCAACACAGAGCCAGCCATCGCCCAACACGCCACAGCGCCAACTAGATCTTCACGACCTCCGACCTCTGAACCCTGCCTACCCTCCTAACCATCAACACAACGAAGACAATAACACAGTTGTTACTGACAGCAGCCGTGCCTCAAAAGCGGACTTGTCAAATCCGATAGACAAGTCTAAAGTTTTATTACGAACATCTGCCCAACAACATCAACTACAAGAAAGTTCTAAAATTTCTCAAGAAGATCCAACTCGGAAACGTTTAAACGTCACACATTGTGCAACCGCAACCACACCTACAACCACTGCTACAAAAACGACAACAACACCAGCAACAACAACAACAACATCTACACAGCAAGGACACACCCACAGCAGCCCTCAGCACATCGCTAAGATAAGCTCGACGACCACACACAAACGTTTGACCGGCACGTCCTACAACGAGGCCACAACGCTCACGCCAGGCTCGGCGGCCGGGAGCCGTGACGTCACCACCGGAACGACCAGGAGGAGCCCGGGCGCCAAGGACACGCTGACACGTCAGAGCAAACAACGGAGCTACAGCGCCAGCAACAAGGCCGTCCGCTCCCTGCTCATCGTGGTCCTGGCTTACTTTATCTGCATGACGCCATTCAGCATTACCAAACTCTACAAGGTAAATGGGGGGTGGTTGGCGGGTGGTTGGCGGCTGGTAGGTGGGTGGTCCTGGCTTACTTTATCTGCATGACGCCATTCAGCATTACTAAACTTTACAAGGTAAATGGTGGGTGGTTGGAGGGTGGTTGGAGGGTGGTTGGCGGGTGGTTGGTCGGTGGTCCTGGCCTACTTTATCTGCATGACGCCATTCAGCATTGTCATTGTCACTGTCACTCTCACTGTCATTGTCACTGTCATTGAAATTGTTATTGTCACTGTCACTGTTATTTTCATTGTCACTGTCATTGACATTATTTTGTCATTATCACTATAATCGTCATTATCACTGTCATTGTCATTGCCATTTTCATTGTCATTTAAATTAATTCGCATTGTCACTGTCATTTTCATTGTCATTTAAATTATTTTGTCACTGTCATCGTCATTGAAATTAATTTGCATTGTCATTGTCACTGTCACTGTACATTGTCATTATCACTGACATTATCATTGTCACTGTCACTGTCATTGTCTCTGTCACTGTCTCTGTCACTGTCATTGTCACTGACATTACCATTGTCACTGCCACTGTCACTGTCATTGTCTCTGTCACTGTCATTGTCACTGTCACTGTCATTGTCTCTGTCACTGTCATTGTCACTGTCACTGTCATTGTCTCTGTCTCTGTCACTGTCATTGTCTCTGTCTCTGTCACTGTCATTGTCACTGTCACTGTCATTGTCTCTGTCTCTGTCTCTGTCACTGTCATTGTCATTGTCTCTGTCACTGTCACTGTCATTCATCAGGTGATCGTGGGCCGCCCAGACGCTCTCCCCGGCTATGTGAACCTGACAGCCAGCCTGTGCCAGTTCTGCAGCTCCGCCATCAACCCTCTCATCTACGGCATCTTCCGTCGGGACTTCCAGCGGGCCTTCCTCATGATTTTACGCCGCTTTATGGTCAGGGCGAGGGTCACGGAGCGACAGAGCCCAGACACGCTCTCCTACCAGCTGAACTGATTCATCTAGGTCGTTTAGTTTTAGTAAGTGTTTTATTTTACGGCACTTGCGACACAATAAGATTCATTCGGTAGTTATCATATTATTGTGTATATTGTGTGGTATATGTTTGTATATTAAGGCTGTAATTTATGTTTTATGTCAGGGGGTTTATTTTTTACGGCACATGTACCTTCGACATAATTTAGATTATCGAGAGGCGTCCACAGACAGACAGACAGACAGACAGACAGACAGACAGACAGACAGACAGACAGACA